CGAGGCGCCGCGCCGGGCAGGGGCTGGGCGCCACGGGCCCCTGCGGGCTCTCCCGACGCCTTGACATGCAATAAATGAATAAAAACAAAAGCCTTAGATTCGTTTCTTTTTTTTGGTTGTTGTTATTGTTTTTTCCTTTTTTAATCTGACGCCATTTCGTCGTAGTAAGTACCTGCCCCGGTAACGTCTGTGCTTGCATCTCTTAAAATCTTGAATATATTCGGGAGTATCACAGCTTATTCTCTGGCATTTTGCTAGGTGAGCAGTTATTGATGTTTGTGGTGAAGCATCTGCTTGGGGATTAGCTGCCTTTGTGCTTTTAAAATATATTTAACCTAGCCCCATACAAATATTCAGTAAATTTAGCTGACAAAAATAGCAGTGGATCTACAGCCTGTGTATACTTGAGCACTTCATTATATGCTTTTAAACGGTATTACTCAAAAGTTACTAATATGCAGAAGTATCTTATTTTAGTGAAGCTCACTGAGAAGAGCTTTGTCAGGAACAAATTCTGATAGAAAAACTGAGCATGTTGTGGCGAGAGAACATAAATTGACAGGAATTTTCTGAAGTTTCCTAATAGCGGAAGGAATCTGACATACATAAATCCAGTTAGTATAAAAATAAAGCTAATATTTTCCTCCAGGTAATTTCCTTGAGGGCCACAGGCATAATTTACCTACACTCTCAAAATATAGGAGATATTAACCTTCAGGGAGGGAATGTCTTCTCTTGAGGTACAATGAAAATAGCTTTACAACAGTCTAATGCCTTCTGCAGGATAAAGGATACTAAACAGAGATGTTACAATGTATATATTCTTCTAGTTGTATGATGAAGGTAGTTCTCAACAGGATTTTTTTTTTCTGTCATAACGAAAACTAATAAATGAAACTGAAACCTTTTCCTCTTAAGGAGGGCTGACCTTCACCTTTTGCGAAAGTTCTAATCGGTTTAAAAAAATGCTACTTCCTTCTTCCACCACCCTCTTTTGAAAGAAGCAATTAACAGAATAAAAACCACTGATACTATTCATGTGGAACCAGGGCAAAGGGCTCTTGACTGGTCCTGCAAGAGTAAAGTAATAAACTACTGTCTGTGGTTAGGAATTTGTGTCCAAAAATTACCTGAAGTTTATTTCGACCAAGTTACATTAACTCTTTTTATAAACTTTTTTTTTCCCCCTCTTATGGCTCTTTTAGTACAATGGAAGAACATCCTATTCCTGAAGCTCTTAGTTAGCCTTTTATTTTTAGTCTATTTTTAAACTGCTATATAAAAGTAATAAGCAAGAATGCATGTGGTTTGAAACTAGTTTTATCCCAGCTATCACTGCTGCAATGTGTTAGTTACACACACATCACATAGAGTAAGATGCTGAAATGAAAGATTACCTTTTTTTTTTTTTTTTTTTAAGACAGTGGGGCAAACAGAAGGTCTACCTTAAATTTTCCTCCTTAAAGGTCCATATGTTTAGGAGGGAGATGAAAACGAGAATCATGCATCGTGTGGAAAATATGCTTGACTAATCTGAAACAGCAGCACCATAGCAAAGCAGATTAAGAACCTTGTTAGGTGCAAAGAACTGCTCAGGAATATGGACTTCTTTTGAACTCCGCACTTGGATACCTTTGCTCTTAGTGCTTCTTGGGTCAAAACAATTAGTAAGAAGATGAAGAGCCAAGAGTTTGACCTATAAAAATTTATTGACTTATCTTGCAGAAATTTACTGTGGTGTATTTGCCAGCTTGGTCAGTCAGCTAAATAATTCTGAAACAATGGGGTTAAAAATTCTTCTGCTTAATCCTCACTTCTCATAAGGTATTTAAGTATATTAATAAATTACTAAAGTATTTAAGTATATTAATGAATATACTTAATAAAGTATATTAATAAAATATCTTTAAGTATTTAATTAGTATTAAAGTATATTAGTGAATATATCTTAAAAAAATAAGAGTTTTGAATCATAGCATAGAATGTACCTGTAGGACAGAGGATTAAAAATCATTTAAATCTTCTGTGCTTAAATGAGCATTTTACTGCAGCATTTATCAGAAAGCCTATAGAATCTCCATTGCTTAATACTTGTTGAATCACAACCAGTGTTACTGTAACATACGTTCTCTATCTCTAATTATGTGTGACTATTTTCACTACAGAACAGTACAGATACTCAAGTTATGTTATATTTGTAAGGAGAAACAAAATTTTGCTGTCTAAATGCTGGTCTTCATTAGTTACTCTGTGTGGTGGTCACCTAAGGCTGTACGAGGAACCACGTAGAACTGAGTGTTCTATTTTTACCTCTTAAATTTCTGAAGTTTGCTTTCTCCTACTTTACAGTAATGCAAACCAATATCATAAGAAAAAAAAAAACAAACAATGCCTTTTGCAGTAGTGAGTTCTGATTCTGTGCCGTCTGATTTTAGCCACAGGATCATAGACTTAATTTTATTTGGAATGGATCTCTGCAGGCCTCTATTCCAAACTCCTGCTCAAGCTCACTGCTTGCTTAACTCAGAAGTTGGTTGCAGTGAATACAGGAAAAAGTTTTACAGATTTCACAAAAATAGATGCCCTTCAAAACTCAGCACTGTTCATTTTCAAGCCCTGTTTTGAGTTAGCGCAAAGTTTAAACTGTGACAGTGGTCATTCTAGTATTTACTGGACAATTCATTATTAATCAGATAGATACAAAACCTTTTCTTAACCCTTACTGTCATGAAGAAGTTTTATCAGCCTTCTTAACATAAGAATGCAATCAGAATTTGGAATCTTTATTGCCTATTTCGAGTGTTTTTATCTTTGTTTTGTTTGTGTGGTTTTTTTTAATTTCTCTTATGGAGATTGCTCTGTGTTAGTGCTTGAAGATCAGTGTTTGGAAGATCAGTGAAATGTTGGTGATCACGTCAGCAGATGCAAACTCAGGATGTGCTTATGCCATGACCTATTCCACATCTTGCAGATCTGTTCATAGTGAAGGATTCCTTAAAGTTCAATATACTATTTCATACTTGCCATTCTGTGGTTTCATGTTACAAAACAGGAAAAAAAAAACACTTCAAAAGGGACAGAAGTACAAATTAAATGTTTAATATTGAGAATAAGTGAACTGTGGCTGCTGTTACTAATAAAGAGGCTTAATAGTAGTTGCTTACACAATGATTATTTGGATAGACAAGCATGATATCCTCAGGGCCTAAAATTTAGCTATGTGATCATTCAGAAATCTAAAATGATAAAAATGGCATTCTAGAAAATGGTAATCTTTGTCCAAATCTGAGGTATGGAAGGGAAAATATAACAGTTTTACGAAGGAGATCAGCTTCTCGAATTCAACCTTTGCTGCCCCCGCCCCGCAAGCTCTTCTGTAGAACTCTGTTGCAGATTGTCTCCAAATAAGTGTCTTAGCAATTTTTTTCCTGAAATAGTGGGACCTTGCTTGTTTTTTAGTGTTCTTTGTTACCAAGATATACATGTCTACATGTCTTAGCATTTATCAGTGTTTTATGTGACCATAAATGCTGTTGCAGCTTTTTATTATTCTTTCCAAGAACTTACTCCTGTAGTTATGCATTGTGACCGCACAAGACAGGACCATGCTTATAAAGATCTGTACTCCCATCAACAAAACAGCATTACTCTTTCCTTTTTTCTTT